TGGTAATCACAACTCTTATATCATCTTTCAGGCCACTAATAAAGGTACTGACCTAAAATTCTTCCGTAAACCCTGTGATTTTGTTAGAGAGGATTTCAAACTGGGTTTGATATTCCTCCACCGTTGTTGTTTGTCGAATTTTTGTGAACTCTGCAATTGGATCTTCAAAAGGAGTAAGGGCAAACCTCACCTTCAAAGCATGGATAAACCCTTCCCAAGTTGTTATCAAAGTAGAGTCTCATAGCCATTGGTACCAAGTCAAAGCTTTGCCCTCCATGTGGAAGGAGGCAATTTGGATTTTTTGAACATCAGGGGTATGATAATAAGCAAAGAATTGTTGGGCGCAAAAAATCCATCTAGTAGGATCATGACCATCAAATTTGGGAAAATCCAATTGAAGAGTACGACCTTGAATTCCACCTTGCCCCTCAAATACAGGATTTTCATGAGTAGTATTTGGTGGGTGCAAATCTGGGAGTGGCTCTTGTGTTTGGCTGCTAGTGGCGTTGTTGTTTTGTGGGTAATGAGGGTTGGTTCTGTTTTGGTTAATTGCTTGGGATAGAGAAGCGTAGTTGGTTGCAAGGTTACTCACTTGTTGTACTATCTCTTCAAGTAAAACTTGCTGCTTGACTTGGGTGCCTTTGAGATCTGCTTGCTGATTCTTTAACTGGTGAACAGTTTCAGATAGCTGGGTAAAACGAGTTCCCTCAGCCATGGAGGAACTGTGGCTCTGATACCACCTGTTAGGGGTTGAAAATCTGAGAAGATAGAAAACAGGTTCTTCAAGGGGCCAACCTCCAATACCAATTTCTAGCTTGCAAAATAGGATGATCTTTCATTAATAAAGCTTGCTTAAATAGCTTACAAACCAGTATAGATTACTACCCACTAACCCATTATTACATGACTCCACTAACTACCTTAAACAAACATAATTGTAGGACTCTACTAACTCTAACAACTAACTTATATGAACATAACCAGTTGATCCACGTAGCAAGAGTTCCTCTACAGAGGGCATGCCAATAGGCCCAAGACCCCTTCTCTGCACATGATAGACTTTGTCATAGCTAGACATTACTCACTTTACCTCTTCCCTTCATTGCTGCCACCTAGAAAGGTTGGAGAAGACTCAGGATACATGACACTCTTAGTGTTTGGCCGTGAGGACAAATCTCTCATGCATATTTTAGTTTTGACATCAATGATCTACTTTTAATCAAATCGAATAGGAGATTAGTCAAAATGCGCATAAACTGGTTAAACACCCTTGACTGGTAAACCACAAAATAAAATGAAATAACTTTTCGTTATAAATTTGTAATGAATGTTAATAATTATGATGATGAAAACTAATTATACGGTTGAAAGTGGAATGTGAAAAATAATGAAAGTTAAAGGAAAAATATTAAAAAATATCATAGTTTGGGGTTCTAAAGTGTAATTTTCCCTTACTGAAATCTTTATAAATTCTTCCACCTGGACCGCAAAGGGTCGAATCGTGACACAAGACAGACAAATGAGGATGTGATCCGAAGACAAAGCCCAAATCCACTTGTTTTGTATACGTTACGTGCTATGAGAGCGGCTATTGTACTCATGCTATTTTACGAGTGCAAATTAAATTTAGCCGTGTTAAGCTCACGATTGTTCCAATTCAATTCGTTCATTAAGTTTGACACGTTTGATATTTGTTAAGCAAGCTCGAGTTTGTGTTCGGGTACAAATTCCTTTTTTGACTAGTGTTTTATATTAAGTTTCACTTGTTTAAATAAACATTCATGTACACACACCGCGTCAACGACCGATTTTTGGAAATATAAGATTTTCTTTAGAACAATCGTCCGTGACATCTTTTAAGTGAGTTCTTATAATTATGTGGAAAACGTTTTCCATTTTGACACTCAACTAGTTAATACTATCTTACTCACAAAATTTCGCAATAGGTAAAATTTTCAAAGGCTAACAAGTATAACATTGTTTGTTAATACTTTTTAAAGGAAGTTATTTTACAGCCAAAATTAATGATATTAAATATTATTTCTTCTAAAAAGAAAATCAAAAAAAGCATATTTTATAACTATTCTTCAAAAAATGAATGCTCATTGTCATATATATAAGTAAGTGTATTGTAAATGACTGAGTATACAGTATACACAACTATATATGCAAATACAATCAAATTTGGAAGGAAATGGTGAACCTAGGCAAGAAAAAAAATAATAATTGCTTATCTAAAAGTGTTTTTTGTGCAAAACTTATTTTTTATTTATTTTTTCTTTAGAAAACCATTATTGAAAGGTACTTGTATCTTCTCCAGAATGCCCAGCACAGCTTTTTGTTGGTATCAAAACTTTGACACCATTAATACACCATTATTGTTGTTGTTTTTTTTGGTTGATGGAAGGGATATTGGCACTTATAGGAACCATATTACGAGAGGTTGTCCAGTTATCTGGGTGAGGAATTTCGAAACCTTACACTGTGACTGTTGTTGTAGCAAAGCCAAGGGGTGAGAGTATCTGGGCTCAAGCTAGTATGCTTTGCAAAAGAAAAAAAAAAGGCACAAGTTTTTTGATGGACAAAAAGTAGAAACACAATGGAAGCACATACAATTCTAAATAAAAGCTCAATACAATGCACGAGAGTTCTGTTTAACTATACACGGTTTAATTGTATGCATTGAAAAAGACTGTTTTTATGATTTAAATTTATGATATAATGGAACAACATTCATGTATTGCCGTATGTGGTATTAGGTTGCTCCATGACCTAAAAGCTATTCTTACTCCGATAAAGAAATTATTCATGCTCCAAAACATGCACCTGTTTCATTTCAAAATTGACATCTACCTGATTCAAAATAACAAATACCTAAACTATTGCTCCCTACATAATCTCTCTACCTAACTCAAGCACTTGGAAACTCTGTAAGCATTTGATGATGAATTTGCATCTGCTTTCAATGAATCAAACAGAGGTTTATAGGCTTACATTCTTCAGTTCTTTTTGATTAGATCTTTCTCCAAGTTTTTTGATTGTGAATTTCAGCTGCTTAGCACTGAAACCCTCGATTCGAGGTGAGCAAAGTATGCTCTCAGTTTCACTTTGATCCTTCAACCATCCTTACAATTCAGTATCATTTTTCAAATTGCCATTTCACTAACTTGATCATTTTACAAAGTGAATACATAACAATCATGATCAAAAAGACACAAAAACACACACAATTATCAATGGACTCCTGAAACTGAAACCCTCATTAATTGAGAAAGTGACCAGCAAACCCGTAAGCGTACGTTAACCAAAAGCCCTTATCAATTGTCCGTCAATTATTTGACAGAAATTAGCAATTGAACTGTTTAAAAACAAACTAATAATTAAGGACAAAAATGACACATTTTGAAGTTGAGTAAGCAAAGTGACACATAGCACAATCAAAGCTGCCATTGTATTTTGCCCATTCTATTTCATGCTAAACTATAAAAATGACATATGGTGTGAATTAATATGAAGGTGAACCACATAAAAAGGAATTGGATAGCTTTTGAAACTAAAAATCCAATTACACACACAAAAAGTAATATCAACCAAGACAAATTCAGTGGGATTCCAGTTTAAGCTTTAATGACCTTTTTAGGGACAATATTTAAAAACACTTCCATCATAACAACCAGCAAGATTAGATATGAGGGCCCGAAACCATCTTAAAATTGCCTCAAGATATTTAAAGACATATTAGACTACTACATAAGATATAAATGCCATAGTTTATTTGAACATAGTAACCCATATGCAAAAGTTTGAATACAAAACTTACTAGCATCGGAGGTTATGTTTTTTGGAAACATTATTTTCTCAACTCTAGGACTAAAGAAGTTTTCTTTGTAATTTTTTTGTTTTTTTTCTTATGTTTCCGATAGCAAAAAATCATTCTAACCACTTGAGTTTTAAACTCGTGACTATTAAATAACTTATGGATACGCGTAATCTACTAAAATCACATGCAACTATGTTTTCTTTTTAATTTACTTGCATCATCCCCGCAATCCTTCCTTCCTCTCCCGCTTCACCTTCCCCACCCTTCTCTCCTTTCCCATCTTATTAATCGGGGAAATTTAAAAAATTAACATAGGAGATAAAAACTATTTTCTTTTGTTGAAAAATTCAAATGAATGGTAGTTAGTTGGAGAAAGAGTAGAAGAGTGGTTATAGGAGTCAAAGTGTTGAATGATGATTAGGGAGAACCTTGGTTTCACAATAAAAAAAAAAATCAAAATTCTAAGTATTTAGAACATAAGGAAGAAAAATTTCTCAAGTCATCTCCTACATAATTCGTTCGTTATATATAGATAGATAGGTTAAAAATTCCATTGTGCACACCATCTTTCAGTAACTAGAGATCTTGCCATTAATTTTACTAAACCAAAACATTAAAGAGGGTCTATAAAGAACAATTCTATAACTTTCTCAACCGAACATTAAACAATTAAGTAAATACTTTCAAGGGGAGAAAATAATTTCATGACAGTCACATGCAGGGAATCCATGAGATTCACAACAAAAATCATAATTTCTGAGATCATTATTGTGGTGTTATACAGAAATCTACGGAAAAAAGAGGGTCAGAAGGAAAATTATTGAGATTTATATCTCTATATGCTCTCTGTAAACCACTTACCAATTATTCTGAACATGACCTATTCTGCAATTCGCCGAGTATTGTTACACAAATTCCCCTTTTACCATCTTTATATTTCTTTCCATTGATTACTGCTAAATGGACACTAATCCTTTTTAGCTTGTCTTTCGATTAAAAAAAAAACAGTTTTGTTATTTCTCAATATAATTTACAAAAGGTTTAACCATAAATCCAGAAATTATGAAAATTACTCCAACAATCTCATTCACATGAGCCTCCACATGCACGCGGAGAAACACAGACTCGCACACACATACACAAACACACACAAACTTACAAACATGTTCTTGTAGTTACACTATGCTCCATTTGAAGAAGGCGAAGAGCTCTCACACACCACCTCAGTTTGCACCTCCCTCCTATGGAAGTTCCGGTGGCAGCCACAGGCAGCGCAAGTGAGTGCACCAGTCGTCCCCTCCTCCCCGTTTGCCATGAATTCCCGACATCCATCAACTGCGTACCCTCCTACGCCTGCAGCGTGATTCTTCTGGCACTCTGCATATCTTACATTCCTAATGGTGACTGATGAATTAGTAGAACTTTTTGAAGTCTCATCTCTCTTCTGGACAAGTTGAAGCTTCTTCATCTCTTCCTTTTCAAACCCCTTGTACCCAGAAACAGGCATATATATATATAAAGAGAGAGAGAGAGAGAGAGAGAGAGAGAGAGAGAGAGAGAGAGAGAGAAGCTAGTTCATATTTGGTTCACACCAAACCCTAACCCTAGAAGGCGTATCTATACCCAGTAAACTTTCTTAGTGACTTATCTTTAGTACATTAAAATGGAACCCACCACCACCACCGTTTCACTGTGCTTATGCGCTATCATTCACTAGTAATAGTCATTGTGAATTGATTATTCAACGGCCTCTAACGACTTATTATTAGCATAGAATAAATACGATTCCTGTCTAAATGATGCCAAAACCCTAGCTTTTCAATGAGCCTATAGCAGTAGTTAGATTGTTATAGAATTTCCAGCTAAGCTATCTTTTAATTCCAATATTCTGTGGCCCCTTAACTCATACTAAAAGGCTGGTTGTGGGGTGTCTCGATACGATAGCAACAACATTTGTCTACCATGACCTGAAAACGTGGATTTGATAACTAAACATATTGAAACAAAATGAAAAACGGATCAGGATCTGTTTCAGTAGTCGAAGTGCAACTTGGGTACGATAGGCGAGTCTAGAGGTTAATTTGAAGTCGACCAAAATTATAGAACATTTGATACTCATGTTTGAATTTTGAACACTCTCAATTTTTTGACCCACCTATTTATCATGCTTAAAATTTTGAATTTGGAGTACCCATCTTGGACTAGGTTGTTCTGTTCAAGTTGAAGTTGATCTTTACTCTCTATTTGCAGAACCCGGGCTAGAATTAAGGGTTGGATCGGGATTCAACTCGGGTTGAATTCGAATACTCTAACTAGTTGAACCACAATCCCTTAATTTGGGTTTTATCCAGAGAACCCCAAAGTCTAGTCTAAGTGCTAAATTGTTTTATGATATTTTGAATTAGATTCAGGTTAACCGGTCTAAATTGTAGCCTTATTCATTGTAGTTTCCTTTGAATAATAGTGTACTAAAAGGAACTAAATAGATCTAACCTAATTGGTCCTTCTTGATTCTTCAATTAAGAGGTCAAGGGAAGGCAATGGTTGATTTCTTGTGTCCTTTTCTTGGGGAATTTTATTGACTCCTCTTTCGGACCGTCTTCAATACTTTGCCCGTGCTTTCTTATTTTTTATGAATGCATTATCTAAAAATTCTTATTGTTAAAATGTTATTTATTCCAAAAGCTACTAATACTCTCCCACAGAGTGTGGTGAAATTCAAACTCAGGACCTCTAAATTCAAATACCATGTTAAACAATTATCTATTTACTCTCAAAGGTTAAGTTTTTGGAGAGGGTGTAACTTAAATAATTTATCTAATGGTCATAGCTATTCATTATAATAATGATCTACCCATTTAAATACGAAGAAAGTGTACTGAAAGAGAGACTCGAGAGATNTACTTTGCCCGTGCTTTCTTATTTTTTATGAATGCATTATCTAAAAATTATTATTGTTAAAATGTTATTTATTCCAAAAGCTACTAATACTCTCCCACAGAGTGTGGTGAAATTCAAACTCAAGACCTCTAAATTCAAATACCATGTTAAACAATTATCTATTTACTCTCAAAGGTTAAGTTTTTGGAGAGGGTGTAACTTAAATAATTTATCTAATGGTCATAGCTATTCATTATAATAATGATCTACCCATTTAAATACGAAGAAAGTGTACCGAAAGAGAGACTCGAGAGATCTTTCGGCTTCCCTCTTTGTCAAATTACCTGAAGTATTAATTAGAATCATGTTAGGCCCCTAATTTGCGTTAAAAACAACCTACAAAGGGTGAAAGGATGGCACTTCCCCTCAGTCCAAGGAATGAAATTTATGCTTACAATTACATCAATCATTCTAAAACTTCCTTTTTCTTTCACTACCTATGGTTATCTGGGAGATTATATTTTAGGAAAACACATATGTGGAGTAACCTCAAGCATCAATTCAACATCAAAACATATAGTTGCTATCCTAGCAACTCTTTGGTGCCAATTTTGCATTGGGAAGAAAAAACTTCAGCTACAAATTCTCTTCTCTGCTTCTGGACATCCACGTAAAGTGAAAGCGNTCTTGCCATTAATTTTACTAAACCAAAACATTAAAGAGGGTCTATAAAGAACAATTCTATAACTTTCTCAACCGAACATTAAACAATTAAGTAAATACTTTCAAGGGGAGAAAATAATTTCATGACAGTCACATGCAGGGAATCCATGAGATTCACAACAAAAATCATAATTTCTGAGATCATTATTGTGGTGTTATACAGAAATCTACGGAAAAAAGAGGGTCAGAAGGAAAATTATTGAGATTTATATCTCTATATGCTCTCTGTAAACCACTTGCCAATTATTCTGAACATGACCTATTCTGCAATTGGCCGAGTATTGTTACACAAATTCCCCTTTTACCATCTTTATATTTCTTTCCATTGATTACTGCTAAATGGACACTAATCCTTTTTAGCTTGTCTTTCCATTAAAAAAAAAAACAGTTTTGTTATTTCTCAATATAATTTACAAAAGGTTTAACCATAAATCCAGAAATTATGAAAATTACTCCCACAATCTCATTCACATGAGCCTCCACATGCACGCGGAGAAACACAGACTCGCACACACATACACAAACACACACAAACTTACAAACATGTTCTTGTAGTTACACTATGCTCCATTTGAAGAAGGCGAAGAGCTCTCACACACCACCTCAGTTTGCACCTCCCTCCTATGGAAGTTCCGGTGGCAGCCACAGGCAGCGCAAGTGAGTGCACCAGTCGTCCCCTCCTCCCCGTTTGCCATGAATTCCCGACATCCATCAACTGCGTACCCTCCTACGCCTGCAGCGTGATTCTTCTGGCACTCTGCATATCTTACATTCCTAATGGTGACTGATGAATTAGTAGAACTTTTTGAAGTCTCATCTCTCTTCTGGACAAGTTGAAGCTTCTTCATCTCTTCCTTTTCAAACCCCTTGTACCCAGAAACAGGCATATATATATATAAAGAGAGAGAGAGAGAGAGAGAGAGAGAGAGAGAGAGAGAGAGAGAGAGAAGCTAGTTCATATTTGGTTCACACCAAACCCTAACCCTAGAAGGCATATCTATACCCAGTAAACTTTCTTAGTGACTTATCTTTAGTACATTAAAATGGAACCCACCACCACCACCGTTTCACTGTGCTTATGCGCTATCATTCACTAGTAATAGTCATTGTGAATTGATTATTCAACGGCCTCTAACGACTTATTATTAGCATAGAATAAATACGATTCCTGTCTAAATGATGCCAAAACCCTAGCTTTTCAATGAGCCTATAGCAGTAGTTAGATTGTTATAGAATTTCCAGCTAAGCTAGCTTTTAATTCCAATATTCTGTGGCCCCTTAACTCATACTAAAAGGCTGGTTGTGGGGTGTCTCGAAACGATAGCAACAACATTTGTCTACCATGACCTGAAAACGTGGATTTGATAACTAAACATATTGAAACAAAATGAAAAACGGATCAGGATCTGTTTCAGTAGTCGAAGTGCAACTTGGGTACGATAGGCGAGTCTAGAGGTTAATTTGAAGTCGACCAAAATTATAGAACATTTGATACTCATGTTTGAATTTTGAACACTCTCAATTTTTTGACCCACCTATTTATCATGCTTAAAATTTTGAATTTGGAGTACCCATCTTGGACTAGGTTGTTCTGTTCAAGTTGAAGTTGATCTTTACTCTCTATTTGCAGAACCCGGGCTAGAATTAAGGGTTGGATCGGGATTCAACTCGGGTTGAATTCGAATACTCTAACTAGTTGAACCACAATCCCTTAATTTGGGTTTTATCCAGAGAACCCCAAAGTCTAGTCTAAGTGCTAAATTGTTTTATGATATTTTGAATTAGATTCAGGTTAACCGGTCTAAATTGTAGCCTTATTCATTGTAGTTTCCTTTGAATAATAGTGTACTAAAAGGAACTAAATAGATCTAACCTAATTGGTCCTTCTTGATTCTTCAATTAAGAGGTCAAGGGAAGGCAATGGTTGATTTCTTGTGTCCTTTTCTTGGGGAATTTTATTGACTCCTCTTTCGGACCGTCTTCAATACTTTGCCCGTGCTTTCTTATTTTTTATGAATGCATTATCTAAAAATTCTTATTGTTAAAATGTTATTTATTCCAAAAGCTACTAATACTCTCCCACAGAGTGTGGTGAAATTCAAACTCAGGACCTCTAAATTCAAATACCATGTTAAACAATTATCTATTTACTCTCAAAGGTTAAGTTTTTGGAGAGGGTGTAACTTAAATAATTTATCTAATGGTCATAGCTATTCATTATAATAATGATCTACCCATTTAAATACGAAGAAAGTGTACCGAAAGAGAGACTCGAGAGATCTTTCGGCTTCCCTCTTTGTCAAATTACCTGAAGTATTAATTAGAATCATGTTAGGCCCCTAATTTGCGTTAAAAACAACCTACAAAGGGTGAAAGGATGGCACTTCCCCTCAGTCCAAGGAATGAAATTTATGCTTACAATTACATCAATCATTCTAAAACTTCCTTTTTCTTTCACTACCTATGGTTATCTGGGAGATTATATTTTAGGAAAACACATATGTGGAGTAACCTCAAGCATCAATTCAACATCAAAACATATAGTTGCTATCCTAGCAACTCTTTGGTGCCAATTTTGCATTGGGAAGAAAAAACTTCAGCTACAAATTCTCTTCTCTGCTTCTGGACATCCACGTAAAGTGAAAGCGATGTGTTGGTGACAATTAAGTAAGAGAATTTGTAGCTGGAATCCTATAGCGATGAACAGTAGGGGATGAAGCATTCACATATGTTGGGATATTAATCGACCCAAGTTTTGTGTGTTTGTTTCTCTATANCGATGTGTTGGTGACAATTAAGTAAGAGAATTTGTAGCTGGAATCCTATAGCGATGAACAGTAGGGGATGAATCATTCACATATGTTGGGATATTAATCGACCCAAGTTTTGTGTGTTTGTTTCTCT